TGAGACAGGGTCTCACTCCATCATCACCCAGGCTGGAGTGCAGTGGCGTGATCTTGGCTCACTGCAACCTCCACCTCCCAGGCTCAAGCAATTCTTGTGCCTCAGTCAACCAAGTAGCTGGGATTACAGGCATGTGCCACTACGCTTGGCTAATTTTTAGTAGAGACGGGGTTTCATCATGTTGGCCAGGCTGGTCTCAAACTCCTGGCCTCAAGTGATCTGCCCACCTTGGCCTTCCAAAGTGGTGGGATTACAGGCATGAGCCACTGCACCCTAGCCCAACATTTTATATTTAAACGAATCATTAGCAGTTCCTTATGTCTGGTTTCTTTCACTTAGTATAATGTTTTCAAGATTCATCCATGTTATAGCATGTGTCAGTACTTTTTTTGATTGCCAACTAATATCCCAAATATGGTACATTTCCTTTTTCCATTCACCAACTGATGGACATTAGGCATCATTTTTTGGCTTTAATGTATCATCTATAATGCTAGCTGTGATCTGTTCAACCTACCACGTGCCAAGCACTCGACCTAATTTGTAATCCTTACAACAGCCCAGAGAGGCAAGTCTGTTTCTCCCACCATACTGACAAAGAAGTGGTCCATCCAAAGTTGCAGAGCTGACAAAGTAAGTGACAGAGCTGAGATTTTTGAAAAGGTTTTTTCCACTGCACTACGCGGCACCTCCCCCAGCCCCGTGTGTTTTACTGGCTCTAATTGGTTCTGAGGCCAAAACAAGAATCCACTCAGTCAACGATCATTCATTCAACAAGAATTAGCTGGCACCATGTGGATGGTAAGCACAGATTAATTAGAGCCAGGCAAAACCAGGCCTTGCCTCCTGGAGTTTGCTGCCCAGGCAAGTGGTGGGAGGGTCATGATTTGGAGGCAAATGCCAGTTACCAGGAAGGGTGTGACCAAGTGCCAGGGACTCAGACATGCTGGAAAGCCTGAGTAATGATTTTTGGAGAAGATGACATTTTGAGCAGGATCCCAGCAGACCAGATGGATTTCACAAGCCGAGACAGGGTGAGCTGCCCACGCAGAGGAACTGGTGCACGCACAGACCAGGGACAGGGATGGTTTCTGCCCTGCTGTTGGCAGGAGGAAAAGGAGGGGCAGGGGAGAGGTTGACATCACACTAGTGACAGCCTTGAATGCCAGGCTAGCGTCTGGGCAGTGGGGAGCTGCTGAAAGTTTTTGAGCAGGGTAACAAGACCGAATCAGTTCATTAGATTTGGATACTGCTCAGAGACACTAGAACTCTGGTGTCTGTCTTTAGACCCAGGCTCCTGGGCCCCTGGAAATTACACCCCAATGCCCACAGGAAGAAGGAAGAGTTGCACTTTGGACCCTTCTGCACCTCCATAGCCCCAGCACCCAGGACAGGGCCTGAACATGTGGCAGGTGTTCAATAAACATTTGTTGAATGAGTAAATGGATGAACCTGCTTGCCAGCCCCCTGCCTTCCGCCCCCATCCCCCACCTCCACCATTCTTTCCTAATCCCTCTCCTAGCAAGGTGGGAATGAGACAGCTGGTGTGCTCCAGATTCTCCCATCCCACCCACCTGCCATGTCTCCTACACCCTTACCTTCTCCCTCCTTGCCCCCGTTCTCCCCGGGGGTCATAAGTAATCACAGGAGCAAACCCTCATGTGCTCCCACCACGTGTTAAGGCAGTTGCAATGACTTTACACTCTCACAATCACCGTCAGGGATAGAAATCATTAAAACTGTACTTTGCAGGTGGGAAAATTGTGACTCACAGTGGTTAAGGGACTTGCCCAGCTGCTGAGGGGCAGAGCTGAGACTCAAACTAGGACTCTCTGATTCCATCCAGTGCTTCTAGCTGGGAGTGTGGAGTGGGCGGTAGGGGTTCTGCTTAAGGTTAAGGGTGTGGAGAGAAACAGGAAGCAGGGAGGTTCCCAGGGGAGGAAGTCTCTGGCCCCATGTTCCAGGACCAGTGGGGTGAATCCTAGTTGGGGTTCCTGCCCTACTTCTGGGGCCAGCTGCCACACTAGGATGTGTAGCCAGATCCTCCGCCCTCCTCTTATGCCAGGGTAGGGCCTCCTACCTGCATGAGGGTTTGCTCCTGTGATTACTTATGACCCCCGGGGAGAACGGGGGCAAGGATGGAGAAGGTAAGGGTGCAGGAGACATGGCAGGTGGGTGGGATGGGAGAATCTGGAGCACACCAGCTGTCTCATTCCCACCTTGCTAGGAGAGGGATTAGGAAAGAATGGTGGGAGGTGGGGGATGGGGGCGGAAGGCAGGGGGCTGGAAACATATACATACACACAACCACACAGCCCAGCCCCAAAGCCTAGTGAGATGGAAACAGTAGTTGCCTTAGACACAGAAGCTTTATTTTTCTATAAAATTATTCCCCAGAGAAATTCTCTTTTCAATGCCCAAAGTATATTCCTTCTTGAAGAGGAAAACATCCCCAAAGATAGTTTGTCAGAAATCCTTTGATCAAGGAGGTCAGCTGGCTCCCATGACCCTTGGGATCGCCTGACTCTGTCACTCTCCCTAAAACCTTCTAGGACATCTGCTTCAGGAAGAACTTTCAACTCCAAAACTCATCTCATCTTACAGATGGGAAAAGTGATTCTCAGATCAGACCAGGGTCAGGCCAAGGTCATCCAGCATCAGTGGCTGGGCTGAGACTGAGCCCAGGGAACCCTGCCTGCTCCTCTTTTTCCCAGCGCTCACTGTGAGTTCTCTAACCAAGGCAGTCCTCTTGACGGAGAGCTAGGAGGGAGAGCTAGGAAGTATAGCTGAGGCCGTGACAACCTCACTCTTCACCTGAAAATTTAACCAGTGGCAGAGGATCCAGGCACACCTAGGCTTTGGAGCCAAACAGGCCTAAAGAAGTAGGTGACACACTTCCTCCCTGCTGTCACCTCCCCTGGAATCAAGGGTCTGCCAAGGCTAAGTGCAAAGAGACACTTCGGTTTTGAAATAAAGAAGTTCCACATGCCTTTGCTTTGGGTCTGTGTGATCTCAATCTGCTTGGCAACTGAGTGCTGCTCAGAAGTCGTTGTTAACAGTTAAATATGTCTTTGTTTCTTTTTTTTCTTTTTTT